AGTATTCAGATTGGTCCCAGCTTTTACTGAAAAATGAAAAACAAAGGAGTTCGTATGATTATGACACATTTTGCTGCATAGATAACACCCAAACGCGATGGATATTCCGACCAGTTCACTTTGTAGGGAATTTCAAGGGCTATCTAATGGCATGTTTTTGAGATGTATATAACTTTTTATTACGGGAGAAAAACGACTAAAGGTGTGTTTAAAGCACTAAGATAGGTGGAAATTATGACATCGCCCAAGTATTTCGACTATTGACCTATATGGACAATTTGCGAAAGACTTATTCACAGCTCATTTTGAAGCCCGAAAAAGTCTCTATAGTTCTATCTATAAAGCATTCCGGTTCTGAGTAGATGTGTTGAAAAAATTCTCCGTTTAACTGTTAAGATAGATGAAAATGATGACATCTACCTAGTATTTCGACAATTTTTCAGGATGAGAATAATAAATATAATATACAATAAACATAATTATAAGAACTCCTTTGTTTTTCATTTTTCAGTAAAAGCTGGGACCAATCTGAATACTGTTTTGGAGAGCCTGAAAATTTTTCTATCAGACAAGGTGCATATCGCCGTTTCAGGAGAAAAGTTGATAATAGGATTTCCGGCGAAACCCAGTCCTTGCTTTTTGGCTCAATGACCATTTCAGATTTCTTTCTAAATAGTCTCATCGTGTAAAGCATACTGGAAAACCTATAGATCCAAGTTTTTGACCTTCCAGGTTTTTTCGTTCTGTAGATATGAAAATTTCATTCAAGCTTACTTCTAGTTACACAAGTAGTAAATTAGACTCTATAAAACTGTATAGTGACAGTGAGCACAAAATGCTTCGCACGTCAATTCACCTACAATTTTAGACGACTAAAAAAAAAGCTGTAAATTAATGACAGAAAATAGCATCTGAGAAAAGTCGATCAGTGTTTGAATGTTCGGTTCGAACAGGTCCGACTCGGGTAGTGTCAGAGTAAAACTTAAGGACTTTGAAATCAGACGGAGAAATTTGCGGAAAGAGGTAATTGGCTTTTGTTGAACTGATGGCGAAAAGTGGAAAGTAATTTTTGTTTGAAAGACACCCAGTCCTTGCTTTTTGGTCAGAAAATTCTGCAAACCATATAGCCTGATAGAGCAAAGAATTCTGAGAAAAACAAGACGTCTCCAGGCTGTCTATAAGGCTTTGTCACAGGAATGTTTTGGTATTTTTCACGCCTTTGTAACCATTCGTAAATCGACTGCAGTAGCGTGAAAAAGCCTTATAGACAGCCTGGAGATATTGCGGAAAATTTGTGGAAAGAGGTAAATGGCTTTTGTTGAACTGATGGCGAAACGTAGAAAGTAATTTTTGTTTGAAAGACACCAGAAGGAATTTTTTAAAGTATGAAGTGTTGGGAAGTGAAAAGGAAAGCATTTCCGATCATTTTCACTCAGAATCATATTGGGCCATTTTCTAGCAGAAACCGTCTGTGTACTTTGAGACGTGTTTTCCTTCACTTTGGTGCTAAAATCTCTTCTGGAAAATTATGAGATCCCAAACTTATGACGGTGGTTCTGTATAGTACTTCAAGTGTACTATCCATTGCAACTGGATAGTACTCCAAGTATACTATCCATTGCAACTGGATAGTACTCCAATTGTACTATCCATTGCAACTGGTCCGACTTCATTGTAGATAGAAACCTCGAAGAACCATGGGTTACAAAATTGCTCCATGAAGCTTCATTTTCGTTCTCTGTTAAGGCGTGGGATGCGAGTGATACGTAATATTTTTATGTCAGCATATAGCAGATATTTAGTACTATATATGCCAATAAAATCTTGGTTTCATCTCGTGTCGTTCGCGAGAAAAACGAAATTTACTTTTTTTCCTCATGTAATTTCTCGAACTTTATTCGTCTCGAGAAATTTTCATATCTACAGAACGAAAAAACCTGGAAGGCCAAAAACTTGGATTTATAGGTTTTCCAGTATGCTCTACACGATGAGACTATTTAGAAAGAAATCTGAGATGGTCATTTAGGATTATCTTCCGCCGCTTACGTGCAATGACTCGTAGGAGTAAGGATTTTCTTCTGTTGTGTTTTGTAAAACCTGCGTTGTGCTGATGTTTTAGTTGAACTTCGTAAGTCACGGTTCGCAGATCGTGTTTGTGATCCCAATGAAATTTTTAAACCTGATCTTTTAAACTGTGCACTGCCAGCAGTTCCATCACCAATATATAGAGACAATGGTAAAATTATTGGTGCAATGCTATGTTTTATTATTAATGATAGATGTGCTAATAATGTCAACGAGCATACAGATTGTGTTTTATATGAACCAGAAAATATTCATCAGTGGGGAAACATGGTATCTCTGGTACTATGTTCAGCAATTTCCCTTATTGTCAAACAAGAGTACGATCGACGTGATCATTATCTACGTTATAAATGGTGGTTTTAACATGGTTATATGTCATCTAAGATAAAACAACAACAAGATATTCATTCTCTAATTCAACAAATTTTATGTGAACTTGAGAAAAAACAGTGCAAATCTGGTAAACGAAAACGGATTAGAGAAAAACAATGGGATTATTTAGACACGCATAGTAGAAAAAACGTTGATTTGACTCTAACGACAAAGGGTAACATATCAGTGATAAGCGAAATGTGGACTGTTGGTTCACCTTTCAAACATCTGTTGACTATAACATTGTTTTTCTATCGTTCTCCATCATATGCAATTAAATGTGCTGAAGAAAATGTAAGTATTTTATATCATGCTAGTCAGTTACACTTGCATGCATGTCGATATTATGCAGCACTGATAGTCGCTGCTCTACATGGTTATAGTAAAGAACAATTGTTGGATGGTGAATTTTATAATAAACATTTGCGACTAGGATGGTTTGTAGATATCCATCTACTACGTCGTGTAAAGTTTAATCTTCTAAACTTCTGTGTTTTTTCATCCGCGATCGTACTTGAAACCAAGAAGTGCTTCTGTATATACGTTAGCATCAAGAACTTCTACATTTGTGAGAGAGGAGTGTACAGAATTCCACTGGCGGCCAAAAACAACGTTAGAGCTACAACAAAATGGAAGTAGTCTGATTTGATGCAAAGCATCAAAAATGTTGAACCAACTGAATCAGCAGATCACATATTCTATCTAAACAGGCGTATCAGTAAACTACCCGGGATGTTGCATGAAGTCCGCGGTCACGTTTACAACTAACGCTTTGTCTGGAAAATCGTTCAGAAAAATAAAATAAAAACTTATCTGGAAAATGATTCAGAATATCACTTTGGAATTGTAAAGATTAATGATTGGCATTACTAGTTTTGTAGTCATGTCTTGGACAGCAGTTTCAGTAGCTTTTAAACGTTAATTTTTCGGGCATCGTGATATATTGTGACAGAAGTATAGCATATCACAGTTGAATTGATACCAGCGACCAATCAGCTCAGTCTGTGAAAAGATTTTTCAGCGGCTCAGACGAAATAGCTCCTAACCAGCTCGCCAAATTCAAAATAAAAACAGCATTTTTTGAAAAATATTGTGCACCATCTAGCAAAGACTTAAAAAATTGTTTTTGCGTCAAAATTAACAACGACCATCATTCACGACATTCCTATGCTGGAATTTGGGCACAAACGTCTCATCCCACAAAAGCCTACTTTTAAGAATCGAAAAACATAAAGATTGCTCTCCGATGTCACAAGAACTTCCGGAGTTGTTTTGGCGTATTCAGTTTAATATATTCTTAGTCTAAACACCGTAATAGAAGACGCCGTGCTTGAAAAATCCCGTTTTTCCAATCCCATTACGAAAATCAATAGTTAGAACACCAACAGCTCTACATGTTTAACATATTCGAAAAATCCAAGGTGTCAACTCTTAGCTTCCCAGCATCTGATTTGCGTGAGTTAGACGTATGTTTTTTAAATTGAAAGATGTTCCTGTGATTGTTATCTTCATGAATTCAGGAAGCACCGGATGTTCGAAATCGCTCCATTTTTTGTTGGTATCTATTTGTTAAGCCCATCTGCTAATACGAGACGTACTAAATGTCTCACTCTTTTAGTGAACCGAAATTACACCATGATATCGAAAAAGTTGTACAAGGGTCTTATAAACGTGGAAATGACAGTAGCAGTACAGATTTGTTGGTTAAATCATTGGAAGTAGCGTTAAGTATATTTTGGAATGATGGAAACAGCTTTAAGGTCGGACTTGAACAAGTTATGACGGTACAAAACGACAATAAAGATGAAATAGGAGTCATCTATAGTCAGTTAGCTGGTGTTGTCTATGAAGATTCTAATATACCAGAAAATTGGAAACAGAACATATATGGAAAAAATTTTATCGAATGCGTAGCGAAATGGTTAGATTATGAAGGACAATGTTGGTTTAAAAAGAGAAAGTCATTTTATGAAATGACATGTGGATTAGATCCACAACTGCCACAGTTTACTGGTGATTTTACACCACTAGTCAAAATATTGGATACAAATCAGTATAATACTTTATCTTATCCATTAAATGACAAAGACCATGCAGAATTATTGAAACAAATATATCACCAATGGTTAGGGCAATTAGAAGATGGTTACGTTATTCAGAAAATCGAATTTATAAATAATCCTGACTATTATCAAACATTTTTACAAGAAATATTGAAAGTTGAAAAACGACAAAAACAAAAGGCATTTCAGTCAGATTTATCAAAAGAAACTAATCCTGATGAACGGCGACAAGTTCTAAAGATATTTGATGGTTTATGTAGACAGGTAAAACATAATCGTACGTCAAAATTTGTTCGAATGTGGCATGGGTGTGCTCGAGAAATAGTGCCCCATATAATATCAGAAGGATTTGCTGCCAATAGTGACAGAGATGAAGGTTGGTATGGAAATGGTATTTATTTTACATCATCAGCTCAGTATGCATCAGTTTACAGTGGAAAGAATGGATGCATAGTGATGTGTTATGTGTTGGTTCTGAATCCTTTTCCGATCATTGATATGAAGGACGGAGGTCGGTTTCAAGGCCGGGGTAATTATAAAAACTACCACGGTCATTACGTTAACACATGTCCTGATGAATTTGTTGTATTTCAAGAAACATATATTTTACCACAAATTGTTGTATATTTTGGGTGAAAGTATTGCTGATAGAATGTAATTTATGATCGTTTTGTGCCAATATGAACCGAGATTTAAATATATAAAATGAAGTATCAGTTCGCTTCTTTTCTAGCAACTCATGTGCTAAGAACCAGACACAGATAGTTGCAGAGCATTAACGTTAGAGCTATCTTTTCATACGCTCCTTCAGTTAAAATATGTTATTGTTAAGGGTGGCATCATCAAAAGTGTTATTTTTTTGTTAAGAGGTGATATTGTATCGATATTAAGAAGCACGTTTGGAGTTATGTCCGAAATTTTGTGTTTAAGAAGAACCAAATAAAGTACAGTCGGTAAAATCAACGTCCAGCTAAAAATAAACAAATTTCATTTAATAAGATCGTTCTAGACATCTGGATACTAAAGTCAAGCCATATGTACTAAAAAAGTCTTTTCAGCACTTTGCTGAAATTTTCAGATATATAACCGTGTTGATGTAACCTTTTGTACATAGTTTTTTAACCACCATAAGATATGTTTTAATTCATACACGTATAGGTATGCCCCAATCCGATAGCTCGGTCATTGAACGGTTCACTAACGAGCTTGTTCGGCAGTCGAACAGTTCGGAACCGAATGTTTCACTCATACAAATGTGTTCGGATCTGAAAACTTGATGCGGCGGAACGTGTTCGGACGAAGATTGCAAATAAGATAGTTTATTCCTTTATCGTTACCGTTTTACCGGTTTAACGTTCGTTATGAATGCATAAGAAAATTTATTAGAAAGTGAGATTATGTAGAAGGTGTATTGATATTGATATTTTAACAGTTTTTTATTTCTTCTTGGGCTTTTCTTTCTACGTCTTAAGGAGTCAATAGGGTAGACTGAAATAGTGTTTTCAAGTCTTTCCCATCGTTTAAATGTGGGGTATACAGTGTATCACTGCATATAGAGAAACAGAAACGGTAGGAGAAAATTTACATGAGAGCACTGGGCGACTTTCTTGTTCTATTTATAGGATAATCTCACTTTTAAATAAGAAACAAAGGAAATAAATAAACAAAAATGGATAGCGAAATATAACAGAATTATGCAAGAATATTCCCATGACTTTCCTTGACGAAATTCACAAAACATTTTGGAAAATTAACACACGGTTTTGCGAAATTCTGCAAGTTTTGGAAAAGTCCTGGAAACAGTTGTGACAATATTCCTGCATAATTTCGTTATG